ATGCCATGCGCTTAAACCTTGCCGTGTTCAGTCACGGGTTCTTTCGAAGAAAACCAAACAAACAAACAGTTGTTGTTTTCGTTTTTTTGTTGTCCTGAGTGAAGCCTCAAACAACAAACGTTTCAAACAGTGATTGCACTAAGAAGTAGCAAAACACTCAACTGTTTTTTTGAGTGCACTTTATTTCAATCAGTCCGTTTTGCACCCTCATTAAGTTTATGTCCTTGCACGCCTCAAGCAAGGGATGGGTGGGAGGGTGCAGTCTAATTTGTTGGACTCGCGAAAGGGGGTATTTAGATGATTTTCACCCGCGTCGCTTCGTTAGTTGCCATGAATGGTCTGTCAACTGAGTTCATCAATTCTTGCGCCAGAGAGCTTGGAGCAAAGAGACTGCGACTACAGATGCCCTGGGAACTTCCACCTTTGGACACCGTTTTGACATGCAAACAGCCTGCCGTCATCAACAAACCGGATTGGGTGGATTTTCCTGGGAACAGTTTTGATCCAGTTTCGTTGAAAGCTGGCCAAGTCAAGTTGGGCAGGTTCAATGCTCGCCGTCACCTCTCTGAGGTATCCTGGGTTGGAGCCGAGAACAAGAAGCATAACTTAGCTCTTCAGTGTTGGAAGGTGATCGTACTGGATAGCACTATGCACACAGACCTGGGTAGGACGTTGATGAAATGCATTGAACTGGGAAGGGATGATGAATACATTTGGCAAGTTGTTGCAGATGCTTTTGCACACAAGTCGACATCAACTTTTGAAGTCCGTGCATCTTCCTTGTTGTCCTTTGGCAGATGGAAACGTGCAACTGGACTTGGCTCACAGGTGGCATTTTCCCAGTGACAGAGGAAACTGTTTATGAATACTTGTGCGAGCTTCGGAGGATGCATGCTGCGCCCTCGAAAGGTAAGAGGTTTCTGGAATCCTTGGGGTTTGCCAAGGGACTTCTTGGTGCAGAAGTGGACAGTGTGATTACCTCTGCAAGAGTGCGTGGCGTGGCATTGGGTTTTGTGCCAGTTCCTTCTATGAAGAAGGACCCTTTTTCCGTAGAGCAGGTCATGGTGCTGGAGCGCATTGCAACACATGGCTCAGGGCAAGAGGCAATTTTTGCGGGATACATGTGCTTTATTATACGCTGCCGTCTGAGATGGTCGGATGGCCAGCATTGCACAAGTGAACCCCAGCTGGATGTGCACGAGGGCAAGGGCTTTGTTGAGGCTGCTCTGTACCATCATAAGACTGCTCAGAAGAAGAGGACCAAAGTTGAAATCACACAACCGCCATGGCAGGGCATTCCAGTGGGTGCCAAAATGTTGGATTCCAAGCCAGTACAAGGGGAAATGGGGAGGAAAGCCGGCTGAAACAAGTTTATGGCATTCACTTTTAACCAACAGAGTTCATCGAGAAAGCCAAGGGGTTGAAACACCCTTTTGATAAACCATTGCCGCTGGAAGAGACAAACATGGCATCAGTGGCCTTCATCTTGAGTGAGGGTCCTTCGAGCGTTGCAAAACACAGGACCGACATGCTGAACCACTACCTTGCACGAGCTAAGGCCTTGCATGCTCAAGAATGCGCCTTACATGACAGCTTGGATGAGCAGATCAAGCCTGTTATGGCGTCCAAACGCCTGTTGCTATTCAAGGAAATGATGGATGACGCTGGGGTACAAGACAAAGAGCTGTTCTCAGATATGTGCAATGGTTTTCGTTTGGTAGGGGACTTACAGCCTTCAGGACAGTTTCAGCAGCAGTGGAAACCAGCAGCGCTTGGAGTAGAACAGTTGCAGCAGACTGCACTATGGGCCCAGAAAGCGGTGGTCTCTTCATGCCAAGGACAAAGAGATAGCAGAGGCAGTCTGGGCAGAAACGATGGAGCAGGCTGCCGCTGACAAGCAATGGGTCCATGGACCGTTCACTGCAGAGCAGGTCACAAAACGACAAGGGCGTCATTGGATACCTGCAAAACGCTTCGGGGTCAAACAAGGCGGCAAGGTGAGACCTGTGGACGACTTCTCACAGTACCTCATCAACGCTGCAGTGACCTGTCATGAGAAGATTGACTTGGAGGGGATTGACCGCATATGTTCAACAGCTAGGTTTTTTCTCGGTGCCTCGCAAGGGGATGGTTCCTGGCAAATTCCGTTTGGTGATGGCGTCAGTTACGGGAGAAGCTCAACAGCATGGTCGGAAGCTGACTGTGCGGACCTCCAAGGCAGATGCTTGGACCTTCGCCAAGCCTACAAGCAGTTGGTGCGCCATCCCGATGACTCCTGGGCATCAATTTTGGCGGTGCTGAACCCCAATGATGGGGGCGTTTACTTTTCGAGGCCGTGGCCTTGCCATTTGGGGCCGTGAGTTCGGTCTGGGCATTCAGTCGTGCAGCCCGTGCGCAGCGCACTATACTGGCTAGGCTGTTCAGACTCGTCGTCACGAACTTTTTCGACGGCTTCTGCCAGTTGGAGCTGGGGTTGTTATCTGGCTCAGCATGGAGCACGGCGGAGCTAGTCATGGAGTTATTAGGCTGGAAAATCTCTACTGGAGAAGACAAAAGACGGCCTTTCTCAAAGTCATTTGAGATTTTAGGAGCCATCGTCAGCTTCCCCGTGGACAAGACAGGCGTTGTCACTGTCTGCGCCTGGACCAGTTTAAGCTACAGCTGGCAGAGCTGCGAGAGAGGCGCAAGGCGCGTCAATTTCCAGGACGAAGGTTGAGTCTTTGAAGGGCAAGTTGCTGTATGCGGCTGGTCACACATACGGGAGGTGCACGCAGCTAGCGTGCCAGTTGCTGCACCGATTTAGTGGTATGGGTTCTATGGTACAGGTTACAGCTGAACTGGTGCATGCCACTTCTCATGCGTTGGAGCTCTTGGTGCAGGCCTAGCCCAGGCTTGTCAGTGCTTGGTGCGATGTACCCCCAGTGCTGGTGTTCACAGATGGTGGAGTAGAAGACGAAACGTGTTACCCATGGCGCATAGATCTTAGATCCTTGGTCAGGCCAGGCCTTTTTCTTCGGGGATCACATTCCCACTGCCTTCGTTAAATTCTGGAAGAGATCAGGCAAGAGGCAAGTTATCTCACAGGCAGAAATCTTTCCGGTCCTAGTGGCCAAAGAGACATGGGGCCACATCCTGGAAAACAGAAGTGTGTTGTGTTTCCTGGACAACGATTCAGCCAGATTGGCGTTGGTGCGGAACTTCTCACCTGTGCTGGATAATTTCTGCCTGCTACAGTTGAACGCTCAGCTGGACATGTTGGTGCAGGCGCGCCATTGGTACGCGAGAGTTCCTTCGAAGAGCAATCCTTCGGACGATGCATCGAGGTTGGACTTCAGCCCATACACTTATGCTGCACAATCCACTCCACGTTATGCAAGGGCCATGGAGGCACTCAAAGGCTTTCAGAGGCTTACAGAAAGTGTTGAAAAGGGGGAATCCGGTAAGCACTGAAAACTCGTGCAAAGCTGTTGACAAGCCAACTTGGGTCAAAGCGTTCTGTTTTCTTTGGTCGAAGGACCTTACCATGAGCAAACGATCAAATTGAATGTTTTCACAAAGGTGAAAAACAGGTTTGGTGCACAACTGGATTTGCCCCGTTTCGACAATCAGAAAAAAAGACTTGAGCGTTCATCGTTGTCACATTCAGCTGAAGCCGTCATTTTGGATTCCATTATCTGCTGTCCAGCCGTGTTTTTTTCTGTTTGATATGTATATGTATATATATATATAGGAGTATATATACATTTATATTGGTCTTGGGTTGTGCGAACCTATACGTAGGTATAAGGTTTGCAGGTTAAGCGCGCGGAAACACGCCATGCGATAAGGCTCATTTCACCAAAGGTGATATTACTTTATCGTAAAAGAAGTGTTTCAAAATTTGTTGTGTCAGGTCACAACAAATGCCATGCGCTTAAACCTTGCCGTGTTCAGTCACGGGTTCTTTCGAAGGAAACCAAACAAACAAATTGTTGTTTTCGTTTTTTTGGTTGTCCTGAGTGAAGCCTCAAACAACACACGTTTCAAACAGTGATTGCACTAAGAAGTAGCAAAACACTCAACTGTTTTTTTGAGTGCACTTTATTTCAATCAGTCCGTTTTGCACCCTCATTAAGTTTATGTCCTTGCACGCCTCAAGCAAGGGATGGGTGGGAGGGTGCAGTCTAATTTGTTGGACTCGCGACCCACCCGATATTGGCATATCCGAGTCTGGGGGGGAATCCGGTAAGCACTGAAAACTCGTGCAAAGCTGTTGACAAGTCAACTTGGGTCAAAGCGTTCTGTTTTCTTTTGGTCGAAGGACCTTACCATGAGCAAACGATCAAATTCAATGTTTTCACAAAGGTGAATTAAAGGACCGGATAACCCCACATGTTACCAACTTCTTTAGACTTAGACTGAGCAGAGAAAGCGAGAAGGGAAGAGGAAGTATGAGAGTGATGGAGGGACGATGGTGGTATGTATCTATCTATCTATCTATCTATCTATCTATCTCTCTATCTATCTATCTTTCTATCTTTCTATCTTTCTATCTGTCTATCTGTCTATCTGTCTATCTGTCTATCTGTCTATCTGTCTATCTGTCTATCTATCTATCTATCTATCTATCTATCCATCTATCTATCTATCTGTCTATCTGTCTATCTGTCTATACATCAGAATATCTATTTATCTCTCCATCGATCAATCTATCAATCAATCAACCTATCTATCTACCTATCTATTTATGTATTTATCTATCTATCTATCTATCTATCTATCTATCCATCCATCCATCCATCCATCCATCGATCTTTGTCTGTGCGTGTGAGACTGCGTGTGTGTGTGTGTGTTTTTTTCCTACACACCTTTTATGCCTGCTCAAGGTCTGTGCCAGCCAGCGACGATGCACTTGTCGTCGGTTCCATCTCTTACGGAAACAAATAGGCTGCTGAAACCAAATGGAGAAAATGGTGAAAAGTCAGGAAAATCAAAATGTGCAAAAACATGATCGCTGTCTCTCAGTCAATGCCTTCTTGTGCTTGCAGCAGGTTCATCAGATTGCCATGCGGTTGCATGTCGTTGGTCACTGCAGGTTCTGGTGGATGGTATACAGGCATGGCAAGGATGTCGGAACGTACAAGCCAGATCACTGTGATATTCTGCGCAAAAAGGTCTGGGATGCGCCAGATGGGTTCTGGTGCACGTGCATCCTCAGTGATGAGCCACGAGATCGGCGTGATCTCATTCAGGGTTCCTGGTTGCAGTTTCAGGATGGCCTGACAATGGCCCGCCAAATCAGCACCAAAATGGGTGATGCCTGCAACTGGTGTGTATGCAACATGGTCAAATTGAGGAGTGTGCACCTGAAAGACTGGGATCTGTACTTCCGTTTCCAGGGACACAGTGCTCATGCTCTTCTGGATCGTGCCCGTGGCATCCCGAAACAGCCTGTCAATTTGGAGCACAAGGCAAGAAGGTGCTTCCAGGAGCGCCGCTGTCATGGAGGTCTCCTGACACCAGTTCTGTAACATGTGTGTGAGATTGCATATGCCGCTGTCATGCATGGAAGGCGTGATGGTGAGAATGATGGGTGCATGTCCACAACTTGAATCAAATACTTGCGTCGTGGTGCCGATCAGAACCCTTCTTTCCCAGCGCATGTCAAACGACCGCATGCCAAGCCAAGCCAGGACAGCTTGGGTAAATTCAGCACTGTCATTTTGTCCATGTGCTGGGCCCCAAGCCCTAGACAGATAGAAAGATAGAAAGATAGATAGATAGAGAGATAGAGAGATAGAGAGATAGATAGATAGATAGATAGATAGATAGCAAAACGGCATCCCCAAAGGTCAGCGGAGGAGGGTGCACAAAGCCAGGTCCACATCAAACAAAACACGGTGCAATTGGCATAGCACCATGTACTGTCATTGTTCATGATCAATCGACATAGCACCAGGGAGAGCTGAAGTCGTGGATCGATCATTGTTGCCGTGGGCGGTGAGAGGCTTTGCCTTTGCCCTTGCCCGGTTTCTGGTTGCCTGTCAAGAGATTCTGGATTTGTGTGGCTTGGCTGCTCTGGCCCAGGCTGTGTGGCTTCATCGAGGCTCCCACCACCATCCAAACCGCATTGAAGGAGAGATGTTGGAAGATCTCGTAGGCCCTGTCGTGTCTGACATTCAACTGCAGGCGCCACGGGATGGAGGTCAGGTTCTGCTGGGGTGCCTTCAGGGCATGGAAGCGTATCACCAACTGTGGATCCAGGAGCAGTTCCAATATCTCCTCCAATTGTTGGCCCATCAGCTTGGCACTGACCGGCGTTTTCTTGTCCAGGATCAGCTTTTGGGTGTTCGGATCCCACCTGTGATATGGGAAACTGCGATCTTGCAGGATCAATCCCTTCTGGAGTGACAGCTGGAAGAGCTGATCCGTGTCCTGCGCGTTGACAATCTGTTCCGCCCGCTGTCGAAGAGATTTCACAAGGCATAGGATCAGGTGCAGTCTCAGCGGTTGTTGCCCCGGGTTGGGGTTGTCCATCAGCTTCTTCCAATTGGCTGTCTCTTGGAGCATCAGGTGAAAAGCTCCGGTGGCTTCGCTGCTCAAAAAAAGAATGAATTGATCCTGTTTGCGCATGCTTTGGAGTTCTTGATCTTGCTTGATGGCCAGGTGGGCTAGAGCCAGGAGGAGCTTGTTGTGCTCCGTGGTCTCCCGTGGCCCTGTGCCTCTGTTTTTGGGCTGGTCGTCTGGCTTTTGTGGCGGGTCCCTGCGACGTGTCTTGGTGTCCCGCGGGTTGGGCTCCAGCATCAGGGTGTTGTCGCGAAAAAGGGGCGCCAGGTTGCTGAACGCATCCAGGATCTGCTGAGAGGCTTCCGGGGCCGGCATTTCTGGAACATGCGTTCCATTCTCCATGAAACAGGTAGGAGAACAGCAAAGCAAGATTGACAAGAACCGGGCAATGTCCACGCAAATGTGACTGAGCCAGGGCCACGCGGTCATCTGCAGGTTCGTCAGGTTTATGTATCCATGGCAAATTGAAGATCTGAGTGCAGAGTGTACATTGATAGATATCTGGTGTCACTTCAAGCACAACATCATGCAATTGGTCAAGGTAAAACATGAACAACTCACGGTGGCATTGGTGCTCCTCACGTAGATGCACACACAGGTCAGCTGGAGCAAGACTCACACCACAGTATAGGCAGCATGATCGCAGGATCTGTAGGGCTCCTTCTTCAGTCCACAGGGCCCGCAATTGGCCATTGGTGAGCAGTTGCTCCAGCAGGAAGCGCCGCGCCGCTGGGAGCTTTGATGACAGGGTGGCATGCAGTTGTCGTTCCCCAATCATGGTCGGTGCAAAGGGTTCTTGTTGAAGTCGATGAAACGCCATTGCAATCTGTCTCAGGGGGAGACATACGTGGTTGCCACGTTTGATCCCTGTAGAGGGGTTGCAGCAGCATGCATTCTGGCTGTAGAAGGTGTCAACAAGCAGCAAGGTCAATCTTTGCGCCCTTCTCCAAAGTCTGGAGTGTGCACTTTGTAAGTGCAGTGCCAGGTCATTGGCTCGCATGAAAGTGCGAGGGCAGCATTGGCAATGAAGAGTCAGGCGTAGTCTGTTGTGAGCTGGCGTGAGAACTTCATAGAGTTGCCCCCGAAGGCAAGCTGCCTGCCAGAGTTCCTCCACCGGCTTGGTTTCTGCACTAGCCATGGGGTTGAAGTGCACACATTTGCCCTGGACTATGTGAGTCTTCAAGCTACTCATTGCGGTGAAGGTTTGGCCGCAATGTGCGCAAGCCGCACTGTTGTCAATGGCATCTCTGCTGGCATTGAATGTCATCCCATGTAGGCCATGCAACTGTTGAAGGTGCTGGGTGAGAATGGCAGGGGTTTCAAAACATTCTCCACAAATGTCACAACGGCATCGCGTCTCCAGGTCTGGTTCATCTGAATCAAGACTGGCTCCATTGACCAATAACATCGCTATCTGCGTCCAGACTGGGCAAGTGTGGGTGCGGAACAGCGCCCCACAAACCCCACAAGGCGGATCACTGCTGTAGAGGTTGGTGAGCTGCTGTGCCTTCAATGGCACATGTTCCCAAAGGTCTGAGTGTTGTTGGCGATAGTGCTGCTGCAAATCTTGGATCCTGGAAAAATGCTGAGCACAGAGGACGCATCTAGTCCTCAGATATGCGCAGGCGTCAGCATCATCAGCAACTGTGTGCCATTCTTTGCGCTTGATCACTCTGAGCAATCTGAGGCCGAAGTTCAAGGTCTTCAGATGTTCCAATTCTGTGGGAGTCAGCATTCTAGCTCCTCGCATGCCAAGGTCAGAGGCATGTGGGCGGGAGCGATCTCCAGGCAGCATGGGGGTGAGTCCACGTAGATTGGCAGTGCACTGGGCCGGGCCACAAAGTAGGGCCTGGCATCCACGCTCAATATGATGTTGGAATGTGCGCCAAGTTGTGAAGATCATGCCACAAAATTTACATTCAGGGAGCCCATCGACAGCATATGATGCAGCCAATGCAGGTTGAATTCGGAAAGTGCTAATGCCATGGGAAGTGGTGCAATGCCGACGAAATACACTGGCGTGTGGGGTCTGAAACTCACATATGGTGCAACTATAGCAAGGTTTTGGGCCGGCCTCTGGCCAGTCAGCTGGAGTCGGATGCACTGGGGCACGGCTGCTGTTCCGGATTGCCTGCAGTTGTGTTAAAATGTCATGCAAGTGGTCCCAGGAAATGGTTCGAACAAGGTCATGTTGGTCAACCCCAGCATATCTTTGAGTGATCGACGCAAGAAGGCTCGTCACAGTATCATGCAGGAGGTCGGCCGGGGAAGCTACTTGGTGTCGATGGAAAACCTGTTGATGCGTTCTATGGGTCACATATGAATGGTCCTGAAAAATCATGCGTAGCGTTTTGGTCATTTGTGTAATTGCCAAACGTATGCCAACATGAGTGATGCCAGTTGCACAGATGCCGTAGCTCAGGATGGGATACACGCATGTCTTCCAAAGTTGGACCCGGCGCTTCAGGGACAGACTGTGTCGTCCCGTGAGCCATCGCTTCAAGCGTTGAAATCCAACATGCATCAATGTGAGCCGATGTCGCAAGCTTTCCATCTCAAAATTATCATAAGAAATGATGATTCCAAGATACTTGGTTTTCTGTTGGATGGGGACACAAAACATGACATCATGGGGCAGCTCAATTTTTAGAAACTTGCCATTCTGGTCAGAGCCAACGCAACGTTGCAGCAGGGGTTTGCTGCCGGGTCCTTTGACCTTCATGATGACAACCGATTTTTGGGGGTTGATGATCATATCAAGCGAAGCAAGAGTTTGAAACATGATCCCAATGGCAAAACGGGTTTTCTCAAAATCCTCCAAGCATGTGAACACTGCTCCAACATGAAGATCGTCTGCGTAAATGTTCAGGTGGTCACATATCCAGGACATGGGGAGAAAAGCCATCAAATCATGAAGGAAAAGCACCATGAAGAATGTCCATAATCCAGGTGCCGCCTTACAGCCCTGGCGTACACCACGGCCAATGCAAATGGGGCTGTCGCAAAGATCATGCTGTACAATGTATTGTGTATCCTGATGCCAGGCTGTCAAGAGCTGGATGATGGATTCCTCAATGTTCAACTGCCAGAGTCTGGTAAATAGCTTGGCTCTATTCACGCAGTCAAAAGCACGTTGAAGATCTACACATGCCTGGAGCCCACCATAAACATGAAATTTGGGGGTAGCATGAGCTCTGGAGTGAGGCGTGGATCTGCGTGTTCCTATCATTTCCCTGACCAGCCGGCAATGGCGAGCAACTCTACAAATTGCATCATTGGTGGATCTTTGATCCAGGAAGGCCCAAATCGGCCAGCAGGTGATGCATGGTGTGGCCTGTTGCATCGCAGTTCGAATCAGCAGCCCTATGATGGCCTTACCAAGAGGTTCTTGGAGGGCCAGAGGCCGAAGATTTTGGGGGCAAGAAGCTGGCTTAAATGGTTTAGGGATAAGGACAAGCCATCCATTACGCCATTCATCAGGTATATATGGGGGAGAGGTTGACCACCAATGACCTAGAATGGAATGCAAAATGGGGGCAAGAAACTGCGCATGTTGTTTCCACACCACGGCCGGGGCAAACGGCTTGGCTACCGCCTTTCCCGCAGGTATGGCTGCCAGTGCTCTCTCAAGCTGCAAAACGGTGAAAGGAACACCTGGAGGGCTGGTAAAATCCATGGCAATTTTTGGGGGGCCTATCCAAGTATCCATGACAAACTTATTAAGTAAAGCCATGCATTCAACGGGTGTGGCCATGTGTCCATTGGGATGCCTTAACTGGATTTGCCGGCGTTGCTGCTTGGGTGCATGTGCATTAATGATGTGAAACAGCTTGTGGGTGTCATGTCTTTCCGCTGCACAGTTGGCTGAGTGTACAACCTCCCGGAATCTGGTGTCACGAATCTCAGCAGCCAGGCGGCGGTGCAGGCGTTTCAAATGCAAAAATTTGGCAACATGAAACCAGGCACGAAAAATGTTCCGTGGACTGCAAATGGCAAGTCTGAGGAAGCATCTGCGGTGCTCCCACTTGTTCAGCATAGTTGGCAGGCTTTGTTGCCAGGGTTGAACCCTGGCCTCCACCTTGCCGGCTGGAAAACTCTGGCAAAACTGTGCAAAAACAGCTTCATGCATTTTGGCAATGGGTTGTTGGCGGGGCGTGGGGTCTGCAAGGTGCGATTGTATCAAGGCCTGTGATGTCTCCACAAATGATCTCCATGCAGGCGTCTGGGTTAGGAAGGCCTGACGGCTATGCGCTCTCTGCTGGGCAGTGATTTTCTGGAAACGATGCATGTCGTAAGTTGGAATCCAGTGTCTGGCAATGGAGCACAAAATGGGTGTGTGGCCAAAAAACGTCTGCTCAATAAATGGTGAAGTCCACAGATATTGAACCCTTCTTGCCTCCTGGTCAGCAAACATGCGTCGGACACAAATGTAGTCCAGTCTGCTGGCACAGTCACCGTGCACAAAAGTTGGACCTAATGCGGCAGAGCCAGCATTCAGGGCAATGAGATCGTGCTGGCGTAGTATTTGCAAGAATCTGGAATGGTCACTGTGGAACGTACCATAGATCCGTCTTTGGCGCCAGACAAAGGTAGGGCTGCCTACAGCATTGGTCTGCTCAGACAGGCTGCAGTTGAAATCACCTAACATAATGAGATTATGTCTATGGGGGAGACTATGTAACACATTATTTAAGAGGGTCCACCAGGTGTCACGTGCTTTCAAACATGTGGTGGTCCTATTAAAAGTGTGTTGATAGCAAGCCAGAATGTCAATCGGCCTTGGATTGCAATTGAGGCGCAAGTGCACCAGCCTGCCCGAAGCATGAAATTGCCATTTCAGTTGTGAGGCAGGGCCAAGGCGTTTGGAAATGAGTATTAATATCCCCTTCCCCCGGTGGGCACCTTCTCCAGAGTGTAGGCAATGCCAATGGGGGTCTTGCCACTCCCCATCGTAGCACCATCTCGTTTCCACAATCACCGCAAGGTCAACTTTCTGGATGAAGAGCCATGCTTTCAACTCGTCCAGTTTGGCACTGGAGAGGCCTCCACAGTTCCACTGCCAGGTGGTCAGTCTGCGCTTCGGCGCATGGATCTGATTGCAGCGCGCCAAATCCTGTGATTGGGTGGCAGCGGTTGGCCTGGAAGTGGATTTGCAACCCATGTTTGCCAAGGCCGTAGCGCTGTAGCATCGACCTCGGTACCATGCAAAACCTTGTTCTTGTGCGCGTGTGAAAGCGCGATTCATGCTTCTTTTGACCACCTGCGTGATCTTTTTCTCCTTAACATTGGTTTCCAGCCTGTCTGACGAGCCGAAGCTCATTGTGGGCTGCTGTCCATGTTGCTTTGTCCAATCTTCAGGTACATGGGAAGTCCAAGGTCGGACTTCAGGAGTCCCCATGGGTGGACTCCAACCCTCGCCCCTGTAGGAATGCGACATGATCACTAAGGTCCAAAGGAGGAAATGAAAACCTCCAGGCTTGGAAACTGCAATCCTACGTCTGGAATTGGGACCAGACTTGCCACTCTTGTCAGGGTCCGTGACAGCAGTGCTCAGGTCTGATGAAACCGCTTGTGTTGGTGTGGGATCAAAAATCTGGTGCTTGGAAAATGAAATGCAGCACAAAAAGGTCCACCAAAATACGACAAACGCCAATGGTCCAGCACCGTAAAGCAGTGTCGGTTGCAAAAAGTCCACTTGCAGATTGGGCCAGGAAAATACGAAAATAGGGAGCCCACCCCAATCAGAACTTGTCGTATCCGATGGCTGCCAAAACTGGAATGAATCTGTAAAATCCAAAAAGATCCAATTGTTGTTGGAACAGTCAGAAGGGATGTCCAATCCCGTACAGTCAGTGAAGTGCCAGGGGTCTCGCAATCGGCCAGGGAAAGAATCAATAAAAGGGGAGCCGACCCCCAGTTGAGACCACCTTGATGTACCCCAAGCCGCAAGGCCAGTCAGTGTACAATGGGAGCCAACCCCACAGAGTGCGGCTTGGGGATACTGTTGTCCAAAAAATGAAGCTGTTCCAATGTGTAGCACAAGTTGTGAATAAATTAAGCCAAAATTGAAAGGGCCAGAGCAATGGTGATGTGAGCCCACCCCAAACAAATCACGTTGGAAGAGCCCAGTGAAGTGCCAAAGAAATCTGTAATCCAGGGCTGCAAGGCCAGTCAGTGCACTTTGGGAGCCTACCCCACAGTAAGCAGCCTGGAATATTCGTTCCCAAAGCACAGGGCACGGGTCGTCAGGGTCCGCAAACCACCTCTGGAGGAAAACTGTCTCTTGCAAAATGATCAGAAAAGGTGTTGCCGAAAATGACCAGTTGCTCAAATCTGTAAGCTGTCTGGATGTTGTCGCACTGATCCCGCAAAAGCACCACCCGGATGTGTCAGGCAGAAAATGTTGAGCCCAATAAAATTGAATGTTTGAATGAGTGTCCAGAGCTGCTTGGCCAGTCAGATTGAAATGGGAGCCAACCCCACAGTGTGCAGCCTGGACACAATGATTATTGGCTGTGCTCGGTGGAAAAATCGCACTCCGGAGGTCAAAATTTGAATCAGTCTCAGGTACACAAGGTGGGTCACACGCAGAAAAATGGAGAAGATGTTGTGTCCACCACCCCAGGGTCAAGGGGAGAAGCCAGGTAATCGTCGTGTTTGTCTGAGAGATGTCTGGCAGCAGCCAGGTTGTAAATCACCCTTCTCCGAAACAGGTGTCAAATGAAATGGTTCGAGTGAAAAGAAGCTCAGCCAAATGAATTGCAAACTGGAAAAACGGCAACGAAAATCGCAAAATGGCACCGATCCCACAAAGCACGCGCGTCCCAATCAAAAGCGACTGCTACGCTCAAACAGAGCACCTGAGCGCCACCAGGATGGTGGCAAAGGGGCTTGTGTGTGTGTGTGTCTGCGTGTGTGCGTGTGTGCGTGTGTGCGTGTGTGTGCGTGTGTGTGTGTGTGAGTGAGTGAGTGAGTGAGTGTGGTTATGTGAGAGCCATCTATCTATCCATCTATCCATCCATCCATCCATCCATCGATCTTTGTGTGTATGTGTGTGACTGAGAGTGTCAGTGAGTGAGTGAGTAAGTGACTGAGTGAGTGTGAGTGAGTGAGAGTGAGAGAGTAAGGGAGTGTGACTGAGTGAGTGAGTGAGTGCCAAGGGACGCCAAAGCATACATCCGAACCAGGGCGTACATCCGACCCCTTGGCAATGCACATTGTCCCACACCTGCCACGCAAAATGCACATTGTCCCACGCCTGTCACGCAAAAGAGGCGGAGCCCAAGGGACGCCAGGGCGTACATCCGACCCCTTGGCAGTGCACATTGTCCCACCCCTGCCACGCAAAAGAGGTGGAGCCACGCCTGCCACGCAAAAGAGGCGCAGCCCAAGGGACGCCAGGGCGTACATCTGACCCCTTGGCAACACACATTGTCCCACAGAGGTGCAGCCACGCCTGCCACGCAAAAGAGGCGGAGCCCAAGGGACGCCAGGGCGTACATCCGACCCCTTGGCAATGCACATTGTCCCACACCTGCCACGGAAAATGCACATAGTCCCACGCCTGCCACGCAAAAGAGGCGGAGCCCAAGGGACGCCAGGGCGTACATCCGACCCCTTGGCAATGCACATTGTCCCACACCTGCCACGCAAAATGCACATTGTCCCACGCCTGCCACGCAAAGGAAGCGGAGCCCAAGGGACGCCAGGGCGTACATCCGACCCCTTGGCAGTGCACATTGTCCCACCCCTGCCACGCAAAAGAGGTGGAGCCACGCCTGCCACGCAAAAGAGGCGGAGCCCAAGGGACGCCAGGGGGTACATCCGACCCCTTGGCAATACGCATTGTCCCACATTGTCCCACGCCTGCCACGCAAAAGAGGCGGAGCCCAAGGGACGCCAGGGCGTACATTCGACCCCTTGGCAATGCACATTGTCCCACACCTGCCACGCAAAATGCACATTGTCCCACGCCTGCCACGCAAAAGAGGCGGAGCCCAAGGGACGCCAGGGCGTACATCCGACCCCTTGGCAATGCACATTGTCCCACACCTGCCACGCAAAATGCACATTGTCCCACGCCTGCCACGCAAAAGAGGCGGAGCCCAAGGGACGCCAGGGCGTACATCCGACCCCTTGGCAGGGCACATTGTCCCACGCCTGCCACGCAAAAGAGGCGGAGACCCAGGGACGCCAGCGGAACCCCGGGGCGTACATCCGACCCCTTGGCAGTGCACATTGTCCCACGCCTGCCACGCAAAAGAGGCGGAGACCCAGGGACGCCAGCGGAACCCCGGGGCGTACATCCGACCCCTTGGCAGTGCACATTGTCCCACGCCTGCCACGCAAAAGAGGCGGAGACCCAGGGACGCCAGCGGAACCCCGGGGCGTACATCCGACCCCTTGGCAGTGCACATTGTCCCACGCCTGCCACGCAAAAGCGGCGGAGACCCAGGGACGGTGAGTGAGTGAGTGAGTGAGTGAGGGAGTGAGTGAGTGAGTGAGTGTGTGTGTGAGTGTGTGTGGTGTGTGTGTGAGTGAGTGAGTGAGAGTGAGTGAGTGTGTGTGTGTGAGTGAGTGTGAGTGAGTGGGTGAGAGTGAGTGAGTGTGAGTGAGTGAGTGTGTGTGTGAGTGAGTGAGGGAGTGAGTGAGTGAGTGTGTGTGTGTGAGTGAGTGTGTGTGTGAGTGAGTGAGTGAGTGAGGGAGTGAGTGAGTGAGTGAGTGAGTGAGTGTGTGTGTGAGTGTGTGTGTGAGTGAGTGAGTGAGTGAGAGTGAGTGTGTGTGTGTGAGTGTGTGTGTGAGTGAGTGAGAGTGAGTGTGTGTGTGAGTGAGTGAGTGTGAGTGAGTGAGTGAGAGTCAGTGAGTGTGAGTGAGTGAGTGTGTGTGTGAGTGAGTGAGGGAGTGAGTGAGTGAGTGTGTGTGTGTGAGTGAGTGTGTGTGTGTGAGTGAGTGAGTGAGTGTGTGTGTGTGTGAGTGAGTGTGTGTGTGTGAGTGAGTGAGTGAGAGTGAGTGAGTGTGTGTGTGTGTGAGTGAGTGTGAGTGAGTGAGAGTGAGTGAGTGTGTGTGTGTGTGAGTGAGGAGGGAGGACGGGAAGGAGGAGGAGGAGGAGGAGGAGGAGGACGAGGAGCGGATACAGAACTAAAAACAAAAACCGAGGAGCGGATACAGAACTAAAAACAAAAACCCCACACGTCAATGTGGGGAAAAACAGGTTTGGTGCACAACTGGATTTGCCCCGTTTCGACAATCAGAAAAAAAGACGTGAGCGTTCATCGTTGTCACATTCAGCTGAAGCCGTCATTTTGGATTCCATTATCTGCTGTCCAGCCGTTTTTTTTCTGTTTGATATGTATATGTATGTATATATATATAGTTATATATATAGGAGTATATATACATTTATATTGGTCTTGGATTGTGCGAACCTATACGTAGGTATAAGGTTTGCAGGTTAAGCGCGCGGAAACACGCAATGCGATAAGTATCTTCACTTTGCGTGGCACATGGTGACATCGACGCTCACTTTGCGTGGCAGGCGGGGCACTTACGGCACTGGGCCGGCTCTGGTGGCGCGCCGGGTTCCCAAATCATGGACGCCGCGGCTCTTTGCGTGGCAGGCGTGGCACTTGGTGACATCCACCTTCACTTTGCGTGGCAGGCGTGGCGCTTGGTGACATCGACTATCACTTTGCATGGAAGGCGTGCCACTTACGGCACGGGGCCGGCTCTGGTGGCGCACCGGGTTCCCAAATGACACCGTGGAGGCCGCGGCTCTTTGCGTGGCAGGCGTGGCGCTTGGAGACATCCACTTTCACTTTGCGTGGCAGGCGTGGCACTTGGCGAGGTTCACCTTCGTTTCGCGTGGCAGGCGTGGCACTTGGAGAGACTTTCGTTTTGTGTGGCAGGTGTGGCACTTATGGCACTGGGCTGCCTCTGGTGGGCGCTTGGGCGCGCTTGGTCGCCGGTGACGCCGCGGCACTTTGCGTGGCAGGCGTGGCGCTTGTTGGCGACATCCACCTTCGTTTCGCGTGGCAGGCGTGGCACTTGGAGACATCTACCTTCGTTTTGCGTGGCAGGTGTAGCACTTGTGGCACTGGGCTGGCTCTGGTGGCTGGCACCACTTTTTCACACACCACCTTTCACACACACCATCTTTGACACACCCTCTTTCACACACCACTTTGTCACACGCCATCTTTCACACACCATCTTTCACGCCCAACTTTGTCACCCACCATCTCTGACACACCATCTTTTACACACCACTTTGTCACCCACCATCTTTGACACACCCTCATTCACACACCACTTTGTCACACGCCATCTTTCACACACCATCTTTCACGCCCAACTTTGTCACCCACCATCTCTGACACACCGTCTTTTACACACCACTTT